TAACAGTATATAAAATAGAGCAATTCAGCAGTCCACAGATGTCTGAGGTTGTACAAGAACAAAGAATGCTAAGGACTGCTAATGAACTGTGCAACCCTACCCAATCCCTGTCAAGTGGCTAAACTCCCGTGGCATCACAGTGTAGGCTGAGAGAGAAATGTCTCCTGGAGGTCTGGGATAGAAGGAGGGCTCTTTTTGTAGCAGGAACTCCTTTGCATATTAGGCGACACACCCATAAGGTAGCCAATCCTCCAAGAACTCTACAATAGCCCCTGTAAGAAGAACCCGTAAGCTCTTGGAGGATCGGCTACGTTAGGGGTGTGTCGCCTAATATGCAAAGGAGTTCCTGCTACAAAAAGAGCCCTGGAGTGGAGGTATCTACTTTGAGAAGGAAGGTTGACTGTTTTTTGATTCTTTGAAAGTGCCTGGATCATGTCCTGGAAGCCAACATCATTAGGGGAAACGCACATAGTTAACATGTGAGAAAGAGCACCTGCTGGAGAGCACTGCGTCATGTGAGTACTGTTCCGATAGAGAAACGAGGAGGGCTTAATTGCAATAAACCAATCTGGAAAAACCTCTTCCCTCCTGTGTAGACTTCCACGTTTAAATACTCATTTCTGATAATGTATACTGTTTCCACAATAAATTAAAAAAAATAACTCCCTGTAAAAATATTCCTTGTGTAAAGTTTATTCATCTCACTTCTGCTGACACTCCCTCAAATATCCTGGCTGAGCTTTTATTCACTCAGAAGCGTGTACCTCTACTTGGTCTCAGACTATGAATATTGGTATGTGGGTCATGGTCTAAAAGTCCAGGGTTTCTTCTATCTAGCAAGTGTTAAACCTAAGCCAGCAGATCCATAGGCACAGGTCAAAAAGTGACAGAAGGAAGGTTGCTTCTGTACACTGGGGTATTTGGTGCAGGCTCCAACTGGAAAGAAGGCCATGTTCAAAGAGACATATATCTAGTGAATATGTGTGTTCTGATCACACATGGCAACAATTTCAGCATGTAAAGGAAACAGCAGCTCATGCTGACCCAGCAGGAGGAAAGACATGTACCAGTGGAGATGTGTATGTGTTTCCCATGACTGAAAAGAGTGATCCAGAAGTAGGGGCTGCACATGCATTGCTTCAGTCATACAGTTTGAACACCACTAATCATGGGTTCAGGACATGTGACGGAGAGGGATATTCCATGCTCCTTACCTTCCACTGAACAGAGGTCCAGCAACATTCAGTGTCATATGAAAGGGGCAGCGGATGTATAATTTCAGTTTTGGAGATACATAGCAGGAAGATCATATATCTGCAAATGAGTACTGTAGACACGCCTCCCGGGCATAAAAAGAGTGCGTACAGTACCCATTGGCAGATGAGTTTCTACCTGTTATGTGTGGGCCACTGAAAGTTACTGCGTACTTTGCAGAGAGGACAAACTGATACTGGTAACTCACTCTTGGACACTGACAGTGAAGAACAGGGGCATTCAGCTGAACAAAGGGGACTATTTTCCCTTCTGCCTTTTTATGTTTATTTGGCAGATTAAGTTTTGTCAAGAAACACACAAGAGTGCCTATGAAATATACCATTTTTAACAATGAAATAAAGTCCATATAGGGAGAATGAGATTTCTTTTACTCACCAGTTGTCTATAGAGAGCTGTAAAAGCTCCAAAATAGGCAACACAGGCTGCGGCTATGAACACGTTTCCAATGATGTTTGAAATCTCCGCTTCAAAGTTCAAAATACTCTCTTCCCACCGGACCTGTTCATCTCCTAATGCAGCAGTGAGTTTCCCAGCTCGAGTAAGACGTGCTTGAGTCAGCGCCATGGTCCTTGCTGAACAGTAAGAACATTACTCGAATATGGTCATTGTTTGTTTAAAAACAACAATTCATTTTTGGCAAACCATTCCTTTGGGGTTTTTTTAAGCTAACAAAGGATTGTGTGACCCCAATTAGAAGTAAATATCACAAAAGCTTTCACAGTGCAATTTTTTCCTACTGCATTTATGTTGTGAAAAGTCAGACTCGTAGGCATAAATTCTCTGCAGGCAGTTTCCAATCTAGCTTATCACAATTCTCTCTTCTTCCTGGGTTTCTATAAACTGAAGGATGTTTCCTCAGAATGAGTTTCTTAAACAGGTATAGGAGCTCTCCACAGATAGAAAGACCAGAAGCAAAAGCGCTCGCTCAGATGTCTCTGCAAAGAGTTTAGTAAAGGTAAAGGTTCCCTTGCTCGAAAGCCAGTCGAGTCCGACTCTAGGGTTGCGGTGCTCATCTCCGTTTCAAAGCCGAAGAGCCAGCGCTGTCCGAAGACCTTTCCGTGGTCATGTGGCTGGCATGACTAAACACCAAGGCGAACGGAATGCTGTTAGCTTCCCACTGAAGTGGTACCTATTTATCTACTTGCAATGTCTTGCTTTCGAACTGCTAGGTTGGCAGGAGCTGGAACTAGAGACGGGAGCTCACTCTGTCATGCGGTGCACTCGGGTCTCGAACTGCTGAACTACCGACCTTCCAGAGCCTGCAATTCAGCGTCTTAACCACTTGAGCCACCGTTTACTCTCTCACTAATTCATTCAGAGTACTGCTGTTCTCTAATTGCCACCTGGAAATTTCAGTCTTCAAAGCATTTATGAAAAACAGTGCCGCAAGACAGTGGTAGACTCTATTATCGTGAACTAATATTACAGTTACGGGAATTTCAGACATACAAATGACCTCAAATGCATATGGTTTGTGTATACCAGAGGATCTTCCCACAGAAGTCTAATTGTTATTTATACCAGTAAGCAATCCTTGGGATTTGAGCTTTAAGCTGCCTCTTATTTGCCAGGCTTAAAGCAGGAGCCAATTTCTTTTTCTCACTACTGTGAGATAGCAGTAAGAGAATAAAAAGGTGTCAGTATAGCTTTAACCTACCACTGAATGTCGGGCTCCAAGGGATGAACAGGCACTTGTTAGTGCTATAGCACTAACAATTTTGAGATTTAGTTAACCATGCAGGAAAAATAAGATGTGCTTGAGCACCCAGTGGGTCAGTTTCTATCATGGTCACTTGTGGCTACTATATAAAATGAAAAACGGATGTTGGACTCAAACATGTCTGCCATAAGAAAGATGCCTTTGTGCATGCAGATATATGCATTTGACAGAACACTGAATGCAAAACAGTTTGGAGCTATAGCATCTGTGCATGCACATTCCTGGATGTTTATTTCAACTCTTGTTCCTGGATGTTTATTTCAAATCTTGTGTGATCATTGCCTTTTGGAAGTTCTCTGGGGAAGCCCTGGCTCTACCTAGGCAACCAATAATGTCATTAGCAAATCTGGCTGCAACTTCATGTTCTGTGTGTTTTCAGTAAAAAAAAAAAAGAGGAAAGTGTGTAACTGTTAGTTATCATGTACAGGTGTATGTAGCTTCATAACCCTGGATGAACCCTGGATGAAGACTTGACCACCTACTGTAACTGTACAAAAGCTGCTGCAAAACATAATCTACCATGGCTACCATGCAGCCACAAAGCTGCCCGGTACGGTGCTCACGTTAGGGGGGTGAACACTTGGGGCAAGACAAACGGATATGAAACTTGACTTGTGAGTAGGTTGCGGTGGCTGAGCAAGTTATATTAATCAAGCAAGCATGACCGCTGTAAAACATTCAACATGCCAAGTAAAAACACACCACCAAAGGATTATTCTAAAAATTATTTCTCTGAACTTCAGAAAAATTATTTGCCTGAACTACTTACCAAGACTCTCTTTTTCATTCACACTTTTTTCATACTGGTCTTGTAGTTCTTGGATTTGTTCTTCTACCTGTCTCAACTTTTTTTGTTTATCTCGAAGGGTAGCCAACGTAGCATCAAGCTCTGCCTAATCGGTATAAAATAACGACACTCATCACTGATATGTCAAACGCTTTATTTTATTAATTTATTAATTTCCAAAACAGTTTTGTAAGAGATTTATTATTGTACTTAGGACACATTAAAAGTGAAAATGGCTTCTTCTGGTCCGCTCAGTAACTTCTACAGTTGAGCTGAACTTTGAACCTGACACTTAAATATCACTTCTTTAGCTATCAGACCACATTTGTGGTAATTAATTTCACATTCAAACCTTTAATAGCATATGAAGGTACATTAGAATTAGATAAAAAGGTAATTAATATAACAATAATGGACGACATCCTACCATAGGATGAAGGAAGTTCCTCTACCCTGAAGAGACTTCCTCCAGCTTAAGTGGCTCGTCCTTCAACTTAACAGTTGGAGGATGAGCCACTTAAATTGGAGAAAGACTCCTTAGGCTGGAGGAAGGCTTCAGACTTTGCTTAGTGGACCAGTAGGGTACAGGCCACAAAGATAATACTTTGTAATGTAAATGGGCTCTGTATGTGTGTTCTCATGTCATCTATTTTGAAAAATGAAACAAATAGAGAAATCCATTAAAAAGCATAGTTTTTGATGTTGGAAGTGAAGGACTTTGTGCTAATTCTTAGCCTCAGACTTCAGAGGGGGACTACAAGACAGTCAGAGAGATACAGGCCAGGACACTGAGCATCCTTTCCCTCTACTGCTCTGACGCTATCCCTTCGATGTGTAGATTGCTACTCTTCGGGAAACTTCCTTCCTTCCAGTCTTGACCTTCCCTCCACACTATGCTAGCCTTCTCCATCTTGGCAGCATGAGAGCAGGACATGCTTCCTCCATCTCTATCCATCCTAGTTCGTTAGACTAGGTTAGAAACCTACCCTGTCTCTTTCCATCCTAGTTCGTTAGACTAGGTTAGAAACCTATCCCTATCATGCCTAGAAAGGAGTTCCTTATAATAAAGGACTCTTATTAGTTTTGCAAAGATAAAGAGGCTGCGTGTGTAACTTCGTTTCCTGCAGCACACACACTCAAGATGGACTTAGCCTTCAGCACGCTGCTAACTAAATAAATCCAACATCTGAAATGATACCTTCCCCCCTACACATTTACACTATCTCCCTAGTTCATTATATTTCACAAGGGCTTCCACATTTGAGTAGTAGATTCAGCAGGACCAACCTATCAAATCAGGCTGAGAATTTATAAAGCTAATATTTTAGAACAAGCACTCTGAACTATTGTAATCACACATAGTTACAGGTGACTAACTGAGCCAAAATACAAATTGCATGTGTATCCAATTTAAAATAATGCCATATGGAAAGACAACATCAACATTGACATAAATTTCCATGCCTATCAGAATGCCAATGTCATCTAACCACACCACTCCACTTTCAACTGAATACAGATTTAAATGTGCACTCTGGCACAACTAGAGCTGTATTGGGGCATAGATATTAGCAGCATTTTAGTATTCTCTCCAGAGAGCAAGATTTTGGAAGGCCCAATTGCCTTCTGTCATTACTGTCTTAATGAAATGACTGTTTCATGGCTAACTCTTTCCAAACAGAGATGTCTTCAAGTTATCAGATGTACTGAATCAATGTACCCATTACCCAAAAGCCAAAAAAGAATTATGCAGATTTCTGTGCTAAATTTGTTGCTAGTCTCAACAAACCACATGGGATTAACACAGACAACCTAATTACAGCAGCACTAGATTAGAATGCACAGGGCCAGACTTTTCTTTGGCACTCAGCTTCCTGTATCAGTGCTATACAGGCTGCTGGAGAACCTGCCATGTGACTAAGATTTGAACCCACAAAAAGAATACTGTGCAAGTGTAGTATGAATGGGAATATAAAGATTTTCATATATAGGTTTTTTCCTTCTTGATTGTTCATATTCATATTTCTCTGGTTTTTATAGATTTGTTCTTTAAGTAATATTTTATTAGGATGTTAGAAAGGCCTGTTATATAGGCTTCCTCTTGTAGGTCTGATATTGTTAGGTACAAAGTTCATGATTCTGTAGTTCTTAGGGCAAACCTTTCAATGTCTGGGTCAGATAAGATTTTGGTATGATATGAAGAATCCTTGCCCATTATCATTTGGGTTAGGTTAAGTAAACACTTAGTTTGACGTAGATATGTTTCTTTATATCTGGCCAATCAGAGGATTATTACTCAAATTACCACTGTCTTTTGTAACCAATTATGCTGTTTGAATATTGTTTTCTTGATGATGAAAAACCTTCTTTTCGCATTCAATAGTACCAGGACATAAATAAATCCCTCTGCAACTAACAAACTACCTGTGCAGCGTTCAGCTTCTGCCTCTTTGGCTCCACCACCTTGATGACTCGAGAGTATAAATCCATAGCTCTCACCCACATGCACATAGATTTGCACGCCTTTGACACTTTCTCTACTTTTTCCGGCACAAAATCAGGGTTGTTGATATATTTCTGAAGCTTTTGCAATATTTGACCCTTTATGTTTTCTTTATCATATTCTAAAAGCTTTTTCAGGAAATTGGAGTCTCCAAGAAGCTGTTTTGCTGTTGCCCAGTCAGGTCTGAAAGATTGAAAGAAACTGGCACATGTTAGAAAGGCTGTTTCTGCCTCAGAGAATGCATTGCCCAGCATAGTTTTCATATGTACTTGCTAGGATTAAATTTGTGCTCGATAAAAGACCGACTGACAGTTACATTTCTGCATTATACATAATTAATTCCAGCATGGAGAAGAGAGGAAATCAACAAGGTAGGCCTTAGGAAGAAGAAGACAGGGTATGGGGTCACAAAGGAAACGGCGCTTTGATGCCTCACGCTTCAGCTAATGTTTTGCGGTAATGTGAATTGAACTTCAAGTGACACCTCTATGGATTTCACCTAATCCATAAAGACATTTGCAAAACAGGCTGCCAAAGCTGCTATTCCTCTAGAAGGCTGGGCTCTCCAGGTCACTAGTATTTAAATTCTAACCAAGTCAGGTATAAATATATAATTTAATTATCTTCAGGCAGACTCCGAGACAAAATAGTTTGACCTTTATTTTTCTCTTAACCAGCACAGGATCACCTTTATGGCTTAGGCTTTTGAAGTTACAAGGGGAGGCCATTTCTCATCCAAATTTGTGGCGCCTCATTAAAAGTCAATGAAAAGATTGCTGAGACATGCTGTGCACGTGGTTTGTGTGCGGAATATCATTTATTCTTTGATTAGAAATAGCAAAGGGAGAATTCACAATAAGCTTGACACTCATTTGTGATCTTCAGAAGAAGGCAAATGCCATCACTGACAACCTCAATTTTTATGAGGTACATTTATGCCAAATAAGAATTATTTCTAGTGTTTCCTCAAAAGTGACTTTGATTTTTTTTCAAAAAGCTGCTTGTGCTATAGGATTCACTATGAACCATTACATGACTCATTCCACTCTGTACTCTATACAAGCTCATAGCATCTATGAGCCACATTTTCCCTCACCCAAAGTATCCAAAGTGAGTTTTTAAAAAATTGGTACTAATAAGGCTAATGAAAGCTAACAGCTATCAATAAAGGCCCAGAAGTGCCCCCTGAGAACATAAATTATTTTTAGTGACAAAAGTTTTATGAACCTGGAGCCAAACTGTATCTTCCTTTGGCAGGAATTTCCAACAGCTGGGTGCTACAACTGAAAAGACCCCACACTGTGCTTCTACAGTTCTCACCATAATAAAAGAAAGAACACAGAGGAGGAGATTGGATTTATACTCTGCCCTTCACTATCCAAAGGAGTTTCAGAGCAGCTTACAATCTCTTCCCCTTCCCCTCTCCACAACAGACACCCTCTGAGGTAAGGTAGGGCTGAGAGAACTCTCTCGAGAACTGCCCTTGAGAGAACACCTCTGAAAGAACTTATGACTGACCCAAGGTCACACCAGCAGCTGCATGAGAAGGAGTGGGGAATCAAACCCAGTCCTCCCAGATTAGAGCCCATGCTTCTAACCCCTACACCAAACACTCCCCCTCTCCAGCTGATCTAAGTGCCTGGGGAGATACATATAGAAGAATGTGCTCTCTCAGATACATGTACATCAGACCATTTAGACACAGTAATGACACCTTAATATCAAATAATATAATTTAACATACTAATAGCCTTCTCCAACAGACATTAGCTGTGCAACAACATTGTAGTGTCATTAATGTGCAAATGGACACAGAGACTTGCATGTGTTTGGTCAGCTGATCAGGCCACTTCTTCTACACTGCTTTGTAGAATTGTGCCAAGCTAGAAGCCTGCATGATGGCTGAAAGGTCCACAGGAGGATCTCCAATGAGATATGTCTCCATAAAGCTTCCAGATCTTTTAGCTCTTTGACATACACTGTTCCAGTGACTTATGTGCCGTGCAACAGCTTTGCGTGCTGCCATAATGATAGTAGCTACTCCAGTCGCAAGAGCACTGAGTGATGCTGTGCCACTGCGGTGACATTCTAAATACTCTCATGATGCCACCCTTAATATCAGATGGCTATAATGGTGTGCTGGTGCAGTAAACGCTTTTTCTCATCCTAGGCATGGTCTCTCAGCTTAAAAAAGGCTCACATAATTGGAACCACTATCCTAAACACGTGTGACAAGGAAATCAGTGGGATCACACCTCTGTAAATGTGGTTAGGACTGGGGTCTCACCACAGCACATCTTGATTTAAAAGATCCAAGACGGCAATATTTTAAAGGTTAACAATTTGAAGCCTTACTTAGCTACAAAAACTGAGAGGGTTTGTCCTTTTAAAATACTGTACTAATGTTCACTGTGACATTCATTTGCTTTCTGATAACATGTAATTGATGTAATGCATCCTTAAATTCCTTTGGGATGTTAGTAGCTGACTTTGCCTGAAGCATCCCTCTTTATCATCAGACTCCATAATCATTAGCTTATTTGGAAGAAACAGTCAGAAACTGGCCCAAGAATATAAAAAGAGACGTGTTTTACCATTAGGGATTTTTGACTATTCCCATACATCAAATCCACAATCACAGCTTGTCGTGCTCAATTAAATTCACCCCTTAATTTTTCTCCCCCCTTGCTAATTAGTAACGGAGTAATACATATATATCTATGCAAATTCATTTCATAACTTTTGGTAGCAGCTCTGGGTTTAAGGCCGGAAGTAGGCATTATAAAGAACGTGCAGCTGCTGCCAGAACAGTGGCTGTGTGTTTCTTTCTCAACTGTAATGTTTAGATTGACAAAAGGGGTCATGCAATGTCATCATATGCTAAACGTTTGCCACCTCCGCTCCACTGGCTTGTGAGGTGGGGAAATGCAGAGCATGACAACATTGCAGGAGAGTGAGAGCAAGAACTCTTCTGTTGAGAATCGCCTTAGGAAATGGGTGTCACTTCACACCAAACCAAAACGGAAGCTAAAAATATAGTCCGACGTGAAGGTATGGGGTGTACCTGACTTACTTTGCATTGAGAAGAATAGAGATAGCTTCCATCACAGTCATGACTAGGTCCGGGGGTTTAGTGAAAACTCTGATTTCAGAAATGTCTGCTTTATCTAAGGAATCGAGAGCTTTGTTGGCAGCTTCTAGAGCAGGGAGAGCCTCATCCAGATCACGCTGAGCATCATCAGCTATCGCCTGAGTTTCCTCCGCTTTTACTTTCGCAGTGGCTTCATCTTCTTGAACAACACGACGAACCTGAAAGCAAATTAATTGGCCAACGTGAGTTTCCAAAAGTTAACGAAGTGTTGAAGTTCACAAATTTGATTCTCCATCTTTGCTATTTGCTTTGTTCCATGTGTGAAGAAATGAAACAGAAACATATTCTCATGTGGTGCGCTGTAAGACTATGAAAAATGATGCAACGTTTTTTTTAAAAAGATGCCAGTGAAGCTAAAGGATGCACAGAAGTATAAAGGCTTTCCTTGTGATTTTCTTATGCTAGAGCAAACAAAATTTCTGGGAACATTGCTAGTTTATAAAAATGCAATATCTCAGGTGTCTTTCATCAGTGAAAGAAAAGAGTCTTTGCTGACAAGAGTATGTGCTTTGCAAGCAGAAGGTCTCTGTTTTAAACCCTGACATTTTAAGTTATGTCAGACTTTCAAGACCTGATGGCAAAACTGAGCTAGACGGATCAATAATCTGATGTTGCTTGGGTCTTCCAAAATATAAACCAAATCATCAGCGAACGCTTGTAATTTGAATTGTTCTCCTTTAATTTTCAGGCCTTTAACCTCGTCGGAATTTCTTACTATATCATTTAATGTCTCCAGCCCAAATATAAATAGCAATGGAGAGAGTGGGCAACCTTGCCTTGTTCCTTTTTCTATAGGTATCTTTTGGGTAAGTTCTCCGTTGACTATAATTTTTGCCCACTGTTCTTTATATATGGCCTCTATCATGTTCATGAAGTTATTTCCACAATCCCAAATATTTAGTTTCTGTTTCATGAAGTCCCAATTTACATTATCAAAGACCTTCTCCGCGTCAAGAAACATTAACGCCAGTTTTTTACCTGGTTGGTATTCATAATATTCAATAATGGTCCTGTTCACACTAGGGGTTTTGGACCGGGAGCGGGACGGATCGGGGGCGGAGCAAACGGGCGCGATCCCACGGCAACATCTGGGAAGCATTGCCTGCCCGTCCCCGATCTGTCCTTTCCACCTGAAAACCCGCACTACAAAGAACCACCTACCTGCGTGATTCTTCTGCTTGAAGCGCCGCAAGCCGGGCCGTCGGATCGCCGGCGCGTCTTTGCGCCAGCTCATCCCCGGCTCCTAGCCGAACTGCGCATGCTCCGACATGCGCAGTTTGGCAGGCTCCCCGTCTGAACTGTGTTTTCTCCCCGGCATCTGATCGTGCCAGGGAGAAAAGGCGCCGCGGCCCAGGGGATCGTGGGATCCCACCGCGGCGTCTCAACTTTGGCGCGGCTTTTAAAAGCCGCGCTTTGAGCGACTTATCCCCTGCCATGTGGCAGGGGCCAATATCGATTATAGTTCTTATATTTTTTTTAATTTGCCTTTTTGGGACATGTATTATTGTATATGTAATTACAATGTCAAGAATATGTATCGCAAAGAACTGGAAGTCTGACAGCATACCGAGTAAGGAAGATTTGATTAGCATTCTTTTTGAAGTAATTGAAATAGATAAGTTGAATATGTTTTTGGCGGGAAAACCAGAGGAAAAATTTAAACAGAAATGGCAAAATGCCATAAAATGGTATGAAGAAAAGTTGTAATGCTAACCCCCAATTGTTAGAAAATGAGAGATTAATGTATGTAAGTTATGGAAAACTGAAAATAAAATGATTAAAAAAATAATAATAATCTGATGTTGCCAAAACCGCCATGCCTCCGTTTTCTGGGCTCAATCTCCACCACTTTGGTCTGGAACCACCCCACTTATCTTGTGCCTGGTTTGCGCGGTGCTAGCCCACTGCAGATTGTGAGTGGGTGTGAGAGTATCAAAGAAGACGTAAGTCTTATAGGCTTGGTGTAAAACTATATACAATTGATTTACACAAGCCTCCACCTATATATTGCACAGAACGACAAAATGCTCATGCAGACACCAGGTTTCCATCAGGAAGGATACATTGTACAGCATCACATTTATACAAACATTGTCCAATCAGGACCCAATGCTGAGTCACTGTTAATTAGCTCTGCTATCAACTAGACAGAACCGGTTGGAGCCAGCTCTACTGACACTCTGAGCTGTCAGCTCCTGTCAAACAGATTGATATGATCTACAGCCAGACTTATAGAACACATGGATGTTGACAGTGCCCACCTTTCCCAAGAAGGTCCCAACAACCCTTGTCTGAGAATTGTTCCAAAAGGCATTTGCAAGACAAAAGGAGGCAGGTTGAACAGGAGAATAAGCAGGAGCAGACCCCTTTGTGCAGCTGAATTTTAATCATGAAATAGCTCACAACCTTGGCCATGGAATGGTATAGTCCTACCTTGATATCTGGGCTCTGTTTTGCCTAACAGAGAGGATCTCCAGTGACCACAGCCCATAACTGAGAGCCAGTGTGGCTTAGTGGTTATAGTGCTGGATGAGGATCTGAGAAACCTAGGTTAACATTTCCGTTCATTCATGGAAACTCACTTGGCTTAGTGGTTATAGTGCTGGATGAGGAGCTGAGAAACCCAGGTTAAAATTTCCGTTCAGTCATGGAAACTCACTGTGGGTGACCTTGGGTCAGTAACACACTCTTGGCCTAACCGACCTCACAGGGTTCTTGGGAAAATAAAATGGAGGAAGGTTGCAAGCCACTTTGGGTGTCTCCCCCCCCCCCAAGGCTTTTTCAGCACTTGAAATGGTGGGGGGGGGGGAGCAAGAGTGCTGTGCTGCTTGTCCGATAAGGACTGGGCCCTCACAGTTTCTTTAAATCACTTTTAGTCTAGTTGGGCCCTTTGGCAGCTGGTTAAAACCTAACCCTGAAGCCCCCTCAAACGACAGCAAGAGGTGGCATAAAAGAGGTTCTCTCTCACAATTTCCCCCACAGTGAATCTGGCTCCTAGAAGGAAAGGGGCCTCATTCACACGGCACATGTCCAGTGTACATGCGTCTTCTCAAATGCACACGGTAACATTGACTAAGTATAAGACAGCTTCATATATTAAATATGTATTGGGTCAGCTTTCCACAGACTTTTTTTTTTTGTCACAGAGTGAATTATGTGACTTCCACCACATGTTACAGGTCTGCTGGGAATTTCAGATCAGTGGTTTGGATCCCAGAGAGGACTTCTGTGGAAAGAAAAGATATCTGTCTTCTCACCTCAGACTAAAAATGCCTCCCCCCAATATTGGTCTTGTGGGGATAAGGGAGCCCCGGGATCCACACAGTGTTGACGTACAATTTAATTTCCTGATGTTTGTATATTTCAGTCTTTCTTAAAATTAAAAAGCCTTTATTAGAATTAGAGGGAGCAAACGTTTTATTTACTTATATGTAGCATGAATAAACACAGATTTACAGATTCTAGAGTGCAAATTTATCATCTTATATGTTTCAAAGCATTTTTTTTCAAAATGTAGTAAAAATAAGGCATTCAAGAGCTGAGGAGGAGAATAATAAACATGTTTCTTGCCTCGAGCATCACCAGGGCACCCTGTACTATACTGCGACAATGTTTCAAATAAACAGATTTCAGTCAGCTCAGTGCTTAGATGGGAGAATAGCTGGGAGCGGACTGCAAGTATATTATAAACAATTAAAAAAAAATTAACTGGTAATAATTTATACCTGATCTGCATTTTCTTGATCCACTGCTAATTTTTCCATCAAAGCTTCAACATCTATTGATTTCTCCTTCAAAACCGGCTCTAAAGCTGAAAGATCTAATTTCATTTTGTCAACGAGTTCATTCGTCTCTAACAACTTTGTTAAGCCATTCTTCACACGATCTCGAGCCTGGAACATGGTAAATATGATTGATTAATAATATATTGATGACTCCTTTCAAAACTTCAAACAAGTGTTACCATATTAGTAGCACAAGAAGGGTTGATGTGGTTGGTTTTTTTTTGAAAAACAAGCGGTGAGCATTGTACAACAGTAACATTGGGCTGGAACTCTACAGTTGTGAAAAGGCAGAAGGCACTCACAGTGGTGACTCTTTCGTGCCCTGTTCCTATCCTGGCAGCTGCCAGGGAATTAGGGGATAACGTGGGCCAAATGCCATGTAACACGACAGCAGTGAAGAGGGAGAAGCAGCCCTTTGCACTGATGGATCCTCATTTCCAGTGGGACAAAACCCACTCAACTGTGTATAACTGCACATATTCTAATCAAATTAGCATGCATAACCTTTTCCATGAATGCTAAGAGTATAATTGCTTTAAGCAGCAAAAGTTACCTCTCCAGTCTAAGTGACCAGTCAAACGTTTACCTTCAACGCTGACATTTCTTTTAAAATATGAAAACAGGCTTAAGCATACAAGTATACATAAGCAAGGAGCTGCGGTGGCTCAAGTGGTTGAGATGCTGAACTGCAGGCTGTGGAAGGTCGGTAGTTCAGCAATTTGAGACCCGAGTGTGCCGCATGACGGAGTGAGCTCCCGTCTCTAGTTCCAGCTCCTGCCAACCTAGCAGTTCAAAAGCAAGAAATTGCAAGTAGATAAATAGGTACCACTTCGGTGGGAAGGTAACAGCGTTCCGTGTGCCTTGGTGTTTAGTCATGCCGGCCACATGACCACGGAAACATCTTCGGACAGCGCTGGCTCTTCGGCTTTGAAACGGAGATGAGCACCGCAACCCTAGAGTCGGATTCGACTGGCTTTCGAGCAAGGGAACCTTTACCTTTATACATAAGCAAGTTTGTATATAGAAATGCTATGACCCAGCAAGCAACCTTCCATGCATGCAGCGTGCACACATCTGGATGGGCATCCCCTATCTACACTGCAATACTAATCTGGGCCCCACCAAACTGGTTGGAGGCCTGCATTCCCATCATCTGGAACCACAAGCTGTTATATTTGAGTGGCTGCCTGGTATAAGAACTGGATCTGGGCTGAAAGAAACACTTAATGTTAAGCACTCCTTTCATTGTACTTGTAGTGTTTCTAACACAATTTGATTTACTATTTAAGTAAAATATTTATATCCTGCTGTCTCACATGTAGCATTCCAAGAGGTGCACGAGCCTTCAAATCAGCAAAAACAGAGAAACTTGTTGCTCAAACAACAACAGTGTAGCCAGACATCCAAGGAACAGGAGGCCTTCCAAAGGTGCATCACCACCACCCAAAAGTAGCTGTAATCTCTTGCCACCTGTCTAATCTTGGACAGCAGAAGAACCCAGAGGGGATCTTCTGATAATACGCTGAGTGATGGGGCAGGGTGGGGGAAGGGATCCATCAGATATTCTGCACCCAGACTGTCATAGCTGAAACTCAACCAAGCAAAGGCAACAAGCAGGGAGCTATGGGTATAATATCTGATATTAAGAAGACTGTTTAAAAAGTCCACATTGGAAGCGGTACGAGCCCTTTTATCTGAAAAGTCCTTAGTCACAGAGGATTGTCCTGCGTTGAGTTAAATCACACTGACACCCTACACCAAACAAACTTTCTCCACTCATAACTCAGCAAGACGGCTCTGTGCCATTGCATCTACGGCACAGAAGTAATTTTTTTATCTTGACCACTGTGACTCCAGAACAGGCTCTAAAATCAACTCTAGCCTGTGTTTTGGCCAATTGCTATCTTATAGGTATGGACTTTAACATCTTCTTAGCAACCTACAATTTTCTCCTGGGACAGGAAAACTACCGTTCCCAACTTTATTGGTGCCACAGTGCTCCACAGCTACCAGATCCTTCTTTGTATTTACCTACACAGCCTGTTCAAACAGTGCATAAAATCGGCTACCTTTGCCCCAGGCAGGCAAGTCATCATACAGTCGTATCACAGACACATCTTTTGACATTCCCAAGCATCAAATCTCCCACTACCAAGGTACCCATGTTACCCATCCCAGGAAGGCAGTCTTTATAGTGTACCAGTTCACAGCAGGAACGGATCCCTTTAAGCGATTATGATGCCACTGTATCCTGAGACCTTCATTTTCCTTGACAGCAGAGGACCTGGAAGTGGGATGCCTCCGGCAAGTCCAAGAAAAGTCTCATCAACACAGCACTCCCTGCGTGTCTCATCTTCTTCTGTTTAGCAACCTTAGCCTCAAAGGTATGAACTCACTTCCCCGAATGCCAGGATCTCATTGCATTGGGCATACATTTACAACTTCTGCCCAGAAGGCAGACAGTCATACTTACAACAACTTATATAATACACTGATCAGCCTGCCCACCCCCACAATGTTAGCTTTGTTTTTTACCTTAAAGGTACTATTTTAGGACTATGTTCTTTTCTCTCTCCTTTCAACTGGCAACTCTAAATAAATAGGATTGGTACTCAAAGAATCTGTGTAATTTCCTTAGCAACTTCCATGGGGCATCTTTAGTTTGAAAACCAAATGTTTGAGCTTTCTTCGTCAAATGTTAAATCCTTCCGGTTTTAGAATGATTCTGTTTCTTCATCAAAAGCCAGAATATGGCAATTCATCTTAACGTTTGTTAGTGAATACAAATATCCACACGGAAGAGGACTGCACTGCAGCCTCTGTCGCATGTGGGTGGCATCACTGAAATCAATGACATTCGATGAATTCGAGTGATTTTAGTGAGGGTGGTTATGGGTCAGATAAAAAGGGGAATTAATAAGATACATCGCCCCTGTGCATTTCTCATAAAGTCATCTACAATACAGATCCAGCAGAAGAAAGCATGTGCTAAATCCATCTCATAATAGGAAATATAAACACCCAACAACGTATGTGTCGTTTGAAAAGGAAGACTGTCAGAGAGAAATGAGGCACAATTCTAAGCATAAGGCTATATTACTGGTAATAGAATTTAACCTACTGAAACCAGCTGTTTCCTTTTTTCACTCAGCATGGACAAGTAAAGATTGATTAACTCTAAATAGGAAGTAGGTGTGGTGTAGTAGCGTCGCCGGAGCTCAACATAGTACCGCTCTGCCATCTCCGTCACACTCATGTGAATATCTACGCACATTACAGAAAGTTTCTCTTTCATCTTATCGCTTCCAAGGTCAACGGGCAGAAAAAAGGTCCTTGCTACAGAAAGCAGAGCTTCTTTGGGCCACTGAAAAAAGGAGAAAAAGATAACAATAATGATCTCACATATTTATTCAACAACAACAACACCATTTGATTTCTACATTCATAAGCCTAAATCCCAGATGATGAAGGCATTTTCTTAACTAAAAATTGTACTAAAGAAAAAGATTAGTTGGCCAACTGTTTAATGCAGCATTGTTATGAAAGCCGACAGGAGATGAAAAGTCTCTGGTTCGGGTTGGCTCATCTGAGAGAGGTGAGGGGGTACCGGTTGCTTTTCTACAGGGAGGTGGATTGAAATTGTCCACAGAGGCCATGGCCGGGCCCCCCGCCTCCAACCCCATGCACCTTTCCTGCTGCCCACTTGTGCCCCCTTCCTTTTGCCCACTCACTTGCAAATGGTCTGCCACCCATGCTGCTAGCTTCACATGTGCCCAGCATCACTGGGGAAGGGCGTGCAGGTGGCGATCCCAGGAGGACACTGTCCAGTGCTACTGAGAAAAGGGAGTATAGGCAGTGGGAGAGCTTGGGAGTAGGCATATGGAGTGTGTGTGCGAGAGAGTAAGTGTGAGTGTGGGGGGCCTGGTGGTGAGAATAGGAGGGGGGGCTGGGAATTCTCTGCCCAAGTCCCCATCTTAACGTTTGTTAGTGAATACAAATATCCACACGGAAGAGGACTGCACTGCAGCCTCTGTCGCATGTGGGTGGCATCACTGAAATCAATGACATTCGATGAATTCGAGTGATTTTAGTGAGGGTGGTTATGGGTCAGATAAAAAGGGGAATTAATAAGATACATCGCCCCTGTGCATTTCTCATAAAGTCATCTACAATACAGATCCAGCAGAAGAAAGCATGTGCTAAATCCATCTCATAATAGGAAATATAAACACCCAACAACGTATGTGTCGTTTGAAAAGGAAGACTGTCAGAGAGAAATGAGGCACAATTCTAAGCATAAGGCTATATTACTGGTAATAGAATTTAACCTACTGAAACCAGCTGTTTCCTTTTTTCACTCAGCATGGACAAGTAAAGATTGATTAACTCTAAATAGGAAGTAGGCGTGGTGTAGTAGCGTCGCCGGAGCTCAGCATAGTACCGCTCTGCCATCTCCGTCACACTCATGTGAATATCCACGCACATTACAGAAAGTTTCTCTTTCATCTTATCGCTTCCAAGGTCAACAGGCAGAAAAAAGGTCCTTGCTACAGAAAGCAGAGCTTCTTTGGGCCACTGGAAAAAGGAGGAAAAGATAACCTTAATCATGATCTCACATATTTATTCAACAACAACACCATTTGATTTCTACATTCATAATTAATATAAGCCTAAATCCCAGATGATGAAGGCATTTTCTTAACTAAGAATTGTACTAAAGAAAAAGATTACTTGGCCAACTGTTTAACGCAGCATTGTTATAATCAGGGCCAGCGTTGGCATACCTTGAACTGGGGTGGCTGCCAGGTCGCAGGACTTCTGGTCGGGCCCCCCGCCTCCAACCCCATGCACCTTTCCTGCTGCCCACTTGTGCCCCCTTCCTTTTGCCCACTCACTTGCAAATGGTCTGCCACCCATGCTGCTAGCTTCACATGTGCCCAGCATCACTGGGGAAGGGCGTGCAGGTGGCGATCCCAGGAGGACACTGTCCAGTGCTACTGAGAAAAGGGAGTGTAGGTAGTGAGAGAGCTTGTGAGTAGGCATATGGAGTGTGTGTGTGAGAGAGTAAGTGTGAGTGTGGGGGGCCAGGTGGTGAGAAGAGGAAGAGGGGGCTGGGAATTCTCTGCCCAAGTCCCCCAAAACCTGGAACTGACCCTGGTTATAACAGAACTAGCACATTACACCTGACATTCTACTATTAGATTTGGGTCTGTTTGTTTGGGGGTTTTTTTTTGCTTGTTTCTTGAGTGCAGGAAGTGGCATAGCTCTCTAATTGTAAGCTGCAATCAATGTGTACTTTCTTCCCATAGTGTTTCCAATGTGCTAGACTTATATGGTTGCTTTTCCCACTGATAAAGCACTAAGTAATGTATCTGCAAGAAGGACATTCATGCAGTTTACTGTAGTGTGAGCAGTGGTACTTTTTCCTTGTGGTTATGTACATCCCCTAGTAGGAACAGGAATACAGATTAGTGGAATGAGATGTATATTTTGGAAAAACGGAAGAAACCTTTCAGTTCAGCAAGGCTGGCAGGAAGAAGTACAACCAACGGATTTATCAGTTGCGAGCATGTTTTGAGCTGACCTCAAGACACTTTCTAATAGTTCCAAAGGAACTTGACTCTTAGCATATAGTCAGATTTTACATCTTCCATTCCGATCAATTTAGTTAGCTTTAAAAAAAGAAAAAGGCAGTTGAGGGAGTTTTGTGCCAACCACATATATGGTATGACGACTCGTTTTAGTCATTTATATAGTGTTGACAATACTTGACGAACATTATTTTGTAACCACTCTGTAAGCTTGATTGACATTATCATCATTACATTACTGATGATAGTATGAGAGTGGTTTGCCTATGACCAGTGAGTTCACCAGAAAGGTGAGAACTGAACCAGTCTTAAAGCCACCATGCTGAGACTTGGACCTATTATATCAGCTGGAAAGTGAAATGTTGAGGCTAATTTGGTGGTGGTGGTTACTCAGGGAAGAACAAAATTCAGTGTTTCAAGAAAAGCAAAAGAAATACAATAAAGTTTTTTGACTAAGTTAAGGATGTTGCCTGCCTCTTATGAATTGCAAGGAATCCGAGGAATCTAGGGCTGGTCAAGAAAGGCTTTCATGCTGTGGGGAAAATTTCAAAGACCTGGAACTAAAGTTGCCACCAAGTTTCTATTAACAATGCAATTTTGGTGTGAATTTAAAAAGAGAAACATGCAAGGGAATTTTCAAAGAAAGCAAAAACGAAGACTGGAGCTTTTTTGTTTTTTTGCTGTCAAATCACATTTGACTTTTGGTGACCACATAGGGTTGTCAAGGAAAGAGACATTCAGGGATGGTTTGCCTTTGCCTGCCTCTGTGAATTCCTTGGTGGTCTCTCATCCAAATATTGACCAAGGCTGACACCTGATTAGCTTCCGAGATCTGGTGAGATTGGGTTAGTCTGGACTATCCAGGTCAGACTAGCATACACCAAGCTTAAAATGTAATAGAGAATTATTCAAATACTGAATCTAGTATTTGAAGGATCACTCAAAAGAGTTGGGCTGGAGAGGGCAAGATCAATATTTTACCATTTAAAGACAAGCAAAGCATGTTAAATTTTAATTATGTTAGAGGCTGTATGTTATACTGGAGAATGAAGGAAATAACCACAAGCTTAACAAGGAAACAGTGGCTGAAGAAAGCCGGTCATATGTTCTTAAATAAAAATCCTGTGTTACTGGGACATCTTAACAAGATTCTTTGATTGGAACTTAGGTACCTGCACAAACCAATCAATCGTGCAGCAGTTCACAAGCGATGGAAACATTCGGCACCGTGCTCGAAAAGCATCTCCAACAGGACTCATGCACAGAACAATGTGCAGCTTCTGGCGGACACGGTTGATAAAATATCGAAATACCTGAGAAAAGGCCGTCCCAAATATTAATTTGAGTATAAGAAGAAAGCAAGGCAATAATGAGGTTGTTAGCACAAATAAAATCTATAGTACACTTATAAACTGTAGCAAATGATTACTAGCTGGTGAGGAAATAGGCTGCTTGACTTAACAGCCTATTTCCATCTCTCACCTTAGAATCAATCTCTGATATTGGCTGAGAACAACAGCATCATAAGAAGTAATTTCCTCTTCCTTTCGGAGATGGTAATTACACATGTACAACATGCACCATAATTTCAATTGCTCTGTCTGCAGCAAAAATTATTCAAATTACACCTTAAAAATACTACTTGAAATGTTTCTATTACCTCATCCCTATTACCCTCTGCTATACCAGCATCTTTTGCTTTGGGTCTGGTAGCTGCCATCACAAACTCCAGTTCATCTTTTTCAAACAGATTAGGTACCTCACCAGAATTCAGAATGTTGTTTATATCTTCTAGAAACTCCTCTACAACAATCTGTAAAATTTTATAAACAACAGTGGTCACAAAAGAGAGTTAGGTAACTTAAAAATACCACAATCAGAAGCTTACTAGTAAATTACTAGTACACATCATGAGTAAACATTTATTCACTTTAAAATAAAGATCGTATTTTATAAGCATCGGCACACCAAATCCTAATCCAGTCACATATAAACAAGGTGTTGTGGGCCGCTAGCAGCCAGAGACAGTAGATAAGAATTCTATTCCTATCTACATTACAAATCGGAATGCCCCAAAATAGAAGCATGAAATAAGCTCAATGGCATGGATGCCAAGATGCTGTTCAGAGGGTGCAACAATACCCCCCTCATGGTATGGCAGGAGGGACAATGTTTGCCAATTCCCCCGTCCTGCTGTAGACTCTTATTTTGCCCTTCACTTATTCTTCCTGGGGGGGGGGTCTAGTGACCTGTGGGTACACCATTTTTTGGGGAAAAGAAGGCTGAAGTTGGAAGGAAGGTGGGGAAATAGTCCTCTTCAAGTGAGACTTCACTGGCGCTGTATAGGACCCAAGTCAATGTATTCTTTTTCATTTGGCCTAATTATGTATTTATTTGATCTGAAATTGTGTTCCACTCTTTAGCTTTCGACTGTAGAAACATACGTCATTTTTAAAAGACTGCTTACTTTTAACTGATTTCTTTGAGCTTTCATATGTGCAGCCAGACATATGGGTTTTGAAGAGCTTCATTCAGATCTTTCTTGAGCTAAGTGTAAAGTCTGTTTGGGTTTTTTAACACCAAGAGACTTTACCAGCAAAGGACTTCTGCACATTGCATGTTTCCAAATATTTCCAAAAGATCTTTGCACAGACACAGAACCCACATATATGCTTGCAGCGAGACCAAAACAAAGAACATATACAGTTAAAACGCATCTAAACCAGAGGTGACAAACATGCAGCCCGCGGGCTGGATCAGGCCCCCGGAGAGCTTCTATCAGGCCCACAGTGGAACTGGTTGTCTCCTGCTTCTTCTTCCACTTCTGCTGCTGGTGCTGCATTGTAGCTTGCTGTGCCAGACTCTTTCAATCACTCAGGAGAGATAGATAGGCAAACTTCTTTTCCCTGCATTGGCTGAGGCTCCTCTCCCTCCCAGGGGGAGAGAGGGAATGAGTCAGAACTTGCTTCCTGGCCAAGCTGCCTCAGTCGAACAGGAAACAAAGGCAAGCCTTTCTCCCCCTCCATTGGCTGAAGCTCCTCCCTGAAAGGAGGGAGGAAGAGCTTGCTTTGCTGGGCTGCCTCAATCGGATGGGGAAAATACAAACAACCTTTAAGACCAACGAAATTTTATACAAGGTATGAGCTTTTGTGTGCCTTGCTACAGTGTGTGTGTTTTGTTGGGTTTGTTAAGCTGTGGGTCTCCTGGGTGCAACTGGGTTCCCTCCCCCTTATCACTGTATTCATGCCCTCATGATCTAGTCTTTCTCAGTAGGAAAGCAATCTGAACTATTTAGATGAAGAATAACAACAAGCCAGTGAGGTGGATTGGGCTGAGAGTGTGTTTCCAGACCAAGTTCACCCAGCACATTTCCTTTGGGGAAATTTTCCTTTGGGGAGTTTGAACTTAGACTTCCCAGATAGTAGGCTGATACTGACCACTGAGAAAGACTATTGTTTTGTAGACAAACACATAGACCTCAATCTGTGTCAGGATGCCTTCTCATGTTCTTGACCAGCACATAAAGTAATTTATGTACAGAAGCTCGCAATACTCAGCCATTTCATGTTTTCCCGATTCCTAGGCTCAGAACTCTGAGCATGAGATTTCTGTACTGAATGTCAATAAATCAAAAGTAGGTTTGCAGCTTATAGATACACACTTGAACAGCATACTCAAGATTGCAACACCACAGACATTTTGATGCAGCAATTCTGAGCAAGAGGTGTCAGTTATTAAGAGACTGTTAAATAAACAAAACATTAGCAAGAGTGCTAATCTTTTAAGCATGTTTTTATTTTAAGTAAAAAAAACCCACCTTTGTGTTTGTGTGCTTTATAAAGTCTATATCTCATTCCTGTGAGGTGTCAAACAGCACTCCCAGATGTAGAACTGTCAACATTGGATGTAAACTGCCCTTTTTTTCATTGCTTACAAAGCTGTGTTCCCAAAGGTAGGACACGATACGGGTCACCACCTCCAGGCCCACTGGGAAAGAGGGTGCCTTTTAAAGGGCGGGATAAAAATTAAATAAATAAATAAATACCATCCAGGTACATACAGAAAGAGTGATATTCCCTGTAATCTCAGATGTGCTACCAGAGCTACCAGTATTTTCGTGAACACCCTGGGTGATGACTGCAATCCGAACAACAGCGCCCAATATTTGAAGTGCCTTCAATTATATGCAAACCGAAGAAACCTGCAATGGGTCTCTCACATCAGAATATGTAAGTAGCCCTCTGAGAGATCAATGGATGCCATGAAGTCTCCCTTCTGAATAGATGCTATGATGGATTTGAGTGTCTCCATTTTGAATTTCCTTGTTCTGATGCTTCTGTTCAACCAGGTCCAGGATGGCCCTGACATCCCCATTCTTCTTTGGTACTATGAAAAACATTGAGTAGAACCCCCCTCCCCCCGGTTCTGTGTGCATCGGGTACCGGTTCTATAGGCCCAGTGTCCAAGAGATACTGGATGACCCCTTCTAGGAGCTGATGTTTCTGACTAGATTGGTTTCTTGGAACGTGCAAAAAGCATTTGGATGGAATGGAGCTGAACTCTAGAGAATATCCATTTATTACTGTGTCTATTACCTATTTGTCATTTAGTGTCTGCTACCAGTGGCTTGCAAAATTCTACTGATGCTCTCCAATCCTTGTAGCATCTGCTGCTCCAGCATAGTCACACTGAGGTTCCCTTTTTGGTGCACTTAGAGTTCTGAATGAGTTTGTTGAAGGAGGAAGGCCTATTACCCTCTCACTGTTTGGGCTGCTATCTATCTTTAAAGGACCTGGAAAAGCCTGCACATGAAGGACGCTTGAATTCTCAAAAGGACTGAAAAATGCCTTCTAGGCTTGCTGTCTTTCTTCCTGGAAGGAAGGGCTTTTTTCATGTCTTTGTCTTCCACCAGGCATTTGTCATACCTTCCTCAAACAGATTGATGCCTTTGAAGGGGATCGCTGCTACCTTGGCCTGGACCAAGGGATCCACCTTCCAGCTTCTAAGCCAGGTATTCCATCTAGCTGCTACACTAAAGGCCATGGCTCTAGCTGACGACTGGAGAGCATCCAGAGATGCATCTGCCGCGAAAGCAGTTGCTAGGGCGATCTTCTTCAGCTCATCTGTAGGTACATTGCTGCTCGCTGCTGCCAGATCCGAAGCCCAGGAGAATGTGGCTCTAGCAAAAAGAGAACCAGCTGCAGACGCTCTCAGTGATGTCACTGAGGCTTCAAAGTCCCTGCACACAGCCTGTTCAATCTGCCAGTCACAGGGGTCTTTGGGAAAGCCATCCGCCTCCACTGGAAGAACCGAGGTGGAACACAGGCTTGCTTCTGGGTTGTCCACTAGGGGCAGCTTGATTCTCTTTGCAGTTTCTGGTACCAGGGAATAAAACTGGGAACAACAGGAAATAAGGAATAATAGGGTGGTTAGCTTCCCACTCACCCTTCATTAAATTACAAAACACTGCTGGGAGGGGAATCCCTGAGGGAGCTACTCCTGACTTGGGAAGGGTCCCGTCCAATCCTTCAGGGAAATCTGGATCTGCTTCCTCTTTTTCTTTGGTCTTGGGAGAGATCTCCAGGACCTGCAGCACCTTGGGGAGCAGTTTGGTATACAGCTCCTGTGGAAAAAGCCTTTTCTGCAAGGTATTTACTACCTCCTCTTCCTCCGATAGTTCCCCTTCCTCCTTATTAGAGGAAGAGTCTGAGGTCTCAGAATCCTCATCATGAAGACTCAGCAGGGGGGCTAGGGTCCCCGCGCAACTTTTACCTTCCTCCCCGGCCGGCAGCGGTCACAGCAGTGAGGCCTCGCCGGTTGGCCAAGCCTTCCCCCACCCCCTCCCCTCTTGTTGCCACTGCCGAAGCCATTCCAAGAGCGTTCCCTCCGCATGCGCAGTGGACGCTCTTTTACTTTTGGGGGGATTTAAGTATCCCCCCCGATATTTTTTCCAACTTTTCAGATTTTTGTGCACACCTGGGAACTGTCCCAAGTGTGCACGAAAATCTCCCTCCCCCCCATGTGCCCCCGATGTGCGGATTTAGATATCCGCACGCAGGGGGGCGACTTCACTATTAGTATATAGATAGGGTGGTTAGCTTCCCACTCACCCTTCATTAAATTACAAAACACTGCTGGGAGGGGAATCCCTGAGGGAGCTACTCCTGACTTGGGAAGGGTCCCGTCCAATCCTTCAGGGAAATCTGGATCTGCTTCCTCTTTTTCTTTGGTCTTGGGAGAGATCTCCAGGACCTGCAGCACCTTGGGGAGCAGTTTGGTATACAGCTCCTGTGGAAAAAGCCTTTTCTGCAAGGTATTTACTACCTCCTCTTCCTCCGATAGTTCCCCTTCCTCCTTATTAGAGGAAGAGTCTGAGGTCTCAGAATCCTCATCATGAAGACTCAGCAGGGGGGCTAGGGTCCCTATGGTACCTAGTATGGTCCTCTGATCTGCTCTTTTTTGCTCAAGGAGGAGAGAGCGAGGCACTGTTGGCTCTTGCCCTTATGGAGACGGATTCACTACTGGGATGTCTGCCTTGTCTACCTGAAGCCCCCGCTGAAGAACTGCTGTTCTGTCTAGATTCCTGGATGGCTTCCCTAATTTCTTGCCTTATCTCAATTTTAATCCAGGTCAGGAGGTTTACCTTAGGTCCTCCCCTGAGAAATCCATGGATGGGTTTGCCAGTAGGTTGGGAGGCCAGGACAGAGGTGGAAGCCAGGAAGCTGGGTAGCTCTAGACCACACTATCTAATGGTTGTGGGGTGGCTAGGACCACCCTCACTGCCATTCCCGCCAAAAGACAAAAAAAATGAAA